TCTGAAGATTCACTACATTCATAAAACAATAATTAAACAGCATCCTGGCCACCTCCATAGTCTCTGCCCCTCTCCCCATAAGGTGCTGTCAGTCTTACATAGTACTCATTTCCTCAAAGGCTCTGAAAAAAGGATGTCTTCACAATTTTCCTGAATGACAGGAAAGAAAGGGTCACCTGACAAGTTGTTCCAGAGAGAGGAAACTGCCTGCCAACAATGCCAATCTCTAGGTTCCTGTCCCCCATTTACCTCCAGGAAGTGGGGATCACAGCATGCTTCTTGCTCTGCATGTACTGGGTGGGCAGATTCTAGCAGATTCTACATGGAGCAAATGGACTGAAAGGAAAAAAAAGGCCCTGAACCATAAAGGATTTTATGAGTAATAAGCAGCACCTTGAATGGGGCTTGGAAGCCAACCAGCCTCCTCCCCCCTTCCCTGGTTTCAGTGTGCTAGCAAGAGGGGGCCAAACAGTGGTTGTTCTTTGTGACAGTTCCCTTCTCAGGAATTGCCCCAGAGGCAAGGATGGTCCCCACTTCCATGGTCTTCCACAGCTGGTAAGAAACTGGCTTTTCCAGAAGGCCTTTGGGGATTGACAGTAGAGCCACTATCCTCTATACCCTTTTAATGATTCAGTGTAATGGATTATTTACTATTGTTATTTTAACATCTGTAATCTATCTAGAGTCCACTAACGTATTGGTGGTGGATAAATTGCATGAAGCTTGGAGACAGGCTACTCATTTTCAAGGATGGGCGATCTCTGTTTTAGCTGGACTAAACCATTCCAAAAATAATGAAAAGTGGCTGTGAAAACTGGGATTCAGTCTCCTTTTCAGCCAGAAGAGGACTGTGGGTCAGAGGAATTCAAAGGCTAGCTCCCCTAAGAAAGCAGCAGAACCAATTGGAACCACAACATTGCCAACACAGAACCCATTGTTTTGGGTCCCCTATCCTATTGACAGAGTGTACTTGACATTACCTACATGCAGAGTCTTGAGGTGGAATCATAAGAAAAACACCATTTCCAGGGTGGAACATCAGAACCCATCTTTGCCCCAGCTGCAGATACCCTTGAGATACATGGGGAAGCATGTGGATCTTGGAACTGGTGAGAGGGGCATGCTTGTGGTGGGGGAGGGGGTTGCATGGATGTGGCCTAAATGTGCATTCATGTTTGCAGAAAGATTTTGTACCATATAAAGGTTATGTCAGCTTAACTTAGGATCCCTGAAACATACAGGTTGATCAGGGATACTAAACACCTGGAACTGTAGCTTGATTATTTATCTCACACTTAATTATTTCTATTTTGGAGGCATAAGCCAGCAAAAAAGAGATTTCAAGAGTGGAACTTTGATATATTGAGCATTGAGCATATAATAGGATTTTTAGTAAATGGAGAACAGTTAGAATCTTAGCCTGGATGTATCTGATTTGCTGGTATTTTCAGAATATACCTTAGTTTTGCTGTCAAAATTAATTGATAATCTGTGGGAGACAAATTAGGAATGTACTTATATTATTATCATATAATTGCCATAAAGAAAAGAGGTGGTAGCTGTTTTAGCCTATGAAGAAATTCCACCTAGAAAGAGTTTGGTCACATTTGCCTGAAAGGCAAAATCAAGTTAATGATATTATCAGTGTGTTTTCCAAATCTAGAAATAAAGAAAATTCCTATTATGTGAGAGACCTAGCCTAATCAGATGGATATACTCCATTAGTCATGGCTCACTGTCATCTGCATTGGAAGAAATATTTTAATAGGGATTAACCTGGTTTCTGACACAGAAATGGAAGGCTAAAACAGCCCCAAAAAGAAAATTTCTCCAATTTCTCCATCTTTCTCTTTTTTCCCCTTGGGTGAATTGTGGATAGAAAAGGTTGGGGAGGCAATGTCTTCCCCTACCTCCTCTTTGATGTCTCTGATCCCAATTGGACCACAGTGGATTTATTCTTTATTATTGTAATTTTGAAACTATCAAAATAGGGAACAAGGGAGTGATAGTTTGCTAGCTACCACAAAAAAGGCAATGGGATGTGACTCAGAATGGTTGCTCCCAGTGTAACTGAGGAAGTCCTGAAAGGTGTCTAGAGCCAGTTCATCAGGTTCATACGAAACACACTTTTTTTTTTTTTGTATTTTCCATGTGGCTTTAAGGGACAATGATACTGAAAAGGACAGTTGGCTATTTTATGAGAATATGTGTATGACTGTAAAATCAGACTTGAAACCAGAAAGCCACAAAGGCTTGAGAGATAATGGCTGTTGTCATTGTTGCTATGCAGTAAGAAACAATATTAGTACTGTTATAACTCTTGTTATACAACTTTCAAATTCTTCCTTGTGCAACTTGAATGTTAAATAATGCTCCCTCCTAACATGACCATGGTTTGTTCAGTAAGGTATTAAGAGTTCTAAATTAATTAAAAGTGGTTAACAGTTTATTAATTAATTCTTAATTGTTATTTTCAAAGTGAGCTGAGAGGAAAGTTTTTATTTTTAGATGGGGCAGGTGTGACTGATTACATGTTTAATTCATTTTTATTGGGGAAATCTGGTGCTTATTTTGCTGTGGGTGAAATGTGTGAAAGTGATCATGAACTCCTTTTAATAAAATTGACTCTCAATAGGACAGTCAGTTTACTTTCCAAACAGGAAATTAGTTCAGTATAGATTGCAGGATATAAAATACATAAGATGTTATTAGACCTTTCCCAGATATTGAATTTTTATTTTAAGACACAAATACTAAAGGCAAAAGGAGACAGTATAATTTCTGGTCATGGTTTGATTATTTTAGAATTGTAGAGAGTTAATTATCTTACAAGTGTGAAAACAGACATTGATGGCAGACAGGAGCACTAATTTGATAAGGAATGTTCAGAAAGTGGTTTCTTTAGAAAGCTGTCCTAAAAGATGTTGATAGGTTTATTGACAAACTGAGTTCAGAGGTGTTTTTTGGCTCTTTAAGCCTCCACAATTTGCCTCTTGCTGAAACAAGTGTTTTGTGAGTTGCAAACCTCAGAGATTCCTGTTGCAGAACATTGACCAGCAAATTTGTGTTAAGAGTTGTTATGGCATGCTTGGGATAGATAATTAAAGAGCTGAATAAATATTTTAAATTTTTTTATACAAAATTTAATTTAAAGGGTTTTTAAAGTGGAGGGGATAGGAAGGCATGCAGAAATACAACTGGAATAATTTTATTTGTCAAAAAATGTGAATTCTCATGCTCTTAAAGATGAATATGTGGGGGAAGAGTGTTTAATTGGGTAATCCCTGTATTTCCTGAATATTTATTTAGAGGCCCATGACTGCAGAAGGTTTGTGAAACTCAGCCCTAAATTAAGAGGCTGTCAAAAAATTGCTCACCACCTTGGGTAGAATACCATTTTAGAGGTAAAGGCAGGCATCTGTTATCAATCAAGCAAAGCGAACTGACTTTGAAAAGTCAGCAATTTTTAAAGGTCTGAATTAGAAATTCTGCAATTTACTGTCTTTCCTCCTTTTTCTTTTTGAATAGACACGCTGCTGCCCAGTCACCACTACCACAAAGCCAGGGTTTGTGTTTGTGTTTGTTTTGTTTTGAACAGCAAACACTTTACAGACTAAGAGAAGATTTTGGAATGAGGAACTATTTTCTTCAGACCCTAGGCAAGTCAACAATTGCTATAGTTAAAAATATCAAAAAGGAGCAAACTTTTTTTACGAAACAAAAAGAAAATGTACTAAATGTTTTGTTTTGTATCTTACCTGCTGCCAGAAGGACTTCTAGATTATCTTTTTTTTTTTTTTTTGAACATCTGGGGACTATGTCTTTACCTCACATACATTATCTGCAGAAAGACTTCTGAAAAAAACATTCTTTACTGACTACATTTATGCATCCAGAATCATTGTTAGCCTCCTCGGTAAAAAACATTATTTCCCCCCAAAACCTGCTAAACTAATTGAAAATATCAGTTGTACCAACTTTTAAAAATAGCCTTTAAAAAAAAATGTAAACGTTGCCATTATCATTAAATGGCCACCTATCTAGCCCTATAATTCCCAGATGCAACTCACTTTTGGAGCATCTTTGTACTTTTTAAGAAAACTGTGGTTTCCTTTCATTCTATAGTTAGAACTCTGTGGGTTTTATAAATGACAGTAAGAGCAAATTACATTTGGTAATATGGATGTTAAATTGCAGCATATTAAAATTCTCTGGATAATATACCTTGCCTTGAAAAAGAGAGTACTGTAGGCAGTTTTCCCAATTTTATGTAACTTATTTCAAGGTTTTGTTTCATTTTCTTTTTCTCCTGGCAAGTGATGGTGGTGGCCTTTTTACGTCTCATCACTCCCAAGATATATGTGGAATCACACAATATCTAATTTATCTTATATTCTTGGAAAACATTTTTTAAAACAATATTCTTAAATTGGAGATTAATTGGTTATGGTTTATTTGGAGGGATTTTTTTTAATGGACTAACTCAAAAGATGCTAACACACAATTTGATACTACTTTTTGGAAGTATTTGTTAAAAATGAGAATTGTCATTCTCTTGATGTATAGATAAAATACATATGGGACTTAACGATTTTAGATTGCTTGAAATGTAACTTCTAAAAATCAGTTGTTATTGAGGATATTGTGAATCTATATTACAGAGCAATTAACTTATAGATTAGAAAATGGGAACTAATAAATGCCTTTTTTTAAGCTTTCAGGTTTTTTGTTGTTTAAGTTCATTTTAAGGAAACAAGTATGTTTTGTCAACATGTAACAAAATATCATCTAGTAATTTAACCATTTTAGAAACCTGTGCAGAAATATAAGAAAGTAACCACAACAAAATATAAGTAAATGATTGCCAAGAAAAATCTCAAAAGAACAGGAAATGTTAAGATAACTGACAAGTAAATTGAGAGGATGCACAGGTACATCCCCCCAGATCCTTTTACTGTAAGTAGGGAAAAAAAACAGGCATGCTAAAAGCAAGGTGCCAACATTTAACATCATCTTTATTTACAAGAATGCCTTTTGATCCCAGTCATTCTTAGGCGATAATATGGTGATTGCCACCTTCCCAGAAAAAGACACATAAATAACATAGCCATCTACAGCCAGCTTCAGTTCCAAATAAAGAAACATCATGACACAAGCTCCACACTTTTGTACTTACCAGAAAAATACAAGTACATGAGGGTGGAATTGGCATCACAATGTTATGATATATATTTTTCACTTGCTGCCTCATGAATCCCCATGAGAGGAAAGATGTGCATTTAGGAACGTTCTGGAGAACTGGAATAGGTAGCAAAGAACAACTTATAATGGCTTCCCCTGAAGGCTTCTTTTGCAAGGAGGCAGGAGAGCAACAGAAACAAGAACTTGACTAATTCGAAGAGGCCAGGACGTAACTCAGTCTCCTCTTACCCTGTGAAAGAGAGGCATATCACCAGATCCATAAGAGCGCTGCTGCCTCCAAGCTGAATATGAAAGAGACTAAAGTGTCAGATAGCTGTCAAGAGCACCTTAGAAAAACTGGTCTACTCAGAAGTAGGTTATTGCTTCAGGTAGATAAGCAACCACAATTCCAAGAAAGTACTGTAGCACTAGCAGTGCTTGGCTGAAGATCATGAATTTCTTGGATAAAAAGAAATTATTTCATTTGGACTTGTTTTTGTAATAAGCTAACTTCGGATGTACTATTCCTTGTAGCCACTCTTACCCAATTTTTAAAATCTGATACAATCTTAACACCTTGCTACTTATTTCCTCATCCCTTGAAGTTAATAGCGATAATGGATCTTATTTGATTTGTACTCTGCTGCAATTAAAATTACCTGATTATGTTCCTTATTCTAATATTTGAACTCTGGGATAGAACACCTTGTAAGATCGCCTGCTGATAAATGAAATATTTGTGACTGGCTGGGGAATCATACTTGCAACATGCTCTCAAAATTTTAGTGTTGGTCTTAAATCTCCTACCATTCCGTTTCAGTGAATGACCTCAGATTCTAATAATATGAGAATGAAAAAAAAATCTTGTCCAAACCATCAATAATTTTATACACCTGTATCATAGCACTTTATTTTTCTTTCCTCTAAGCTAAAGATCATGAGATCTCTTTTCTCTTCTCTTTCCTCAAAGGGCAGTTACTCCTTGCTGCTGATTTTTCAGCTCTACAATATTATTTTTGCACTGTAGTAATCACAGCTATATACGTTACTCTTCAAATGCTTACGTAAAAAACATGCCTCTTTCTCTCACCTCAAGCATTAGCAATTATTTTTTTGGAAATAGTTTATTAGCAAAAATCTGTACAATATAAAGGAAAAGAAATCAAAGATAATGTTAGGGACTGCTTTCATCAATATCCTTGTCCGGATCTCTCTCTGGATTTTCATCCTGTTGCTGCTTCTTCCAGAGTTTAGCCATTGCAAGCAGTTTGAGGTTGGGTTGATTGGCAGCATCTTCTGGGAAGATGTAATCATAATATTCTTCCCAGCCGGCATCAGACTAGAAAGAAAAGTGTGGACATAATCAAACCTCCTTTATTACAATAATTGTTTCAAACTATCTGATATTACCAGACAACATTTGGTGTTTTCTTATCCTGCTACTTTTTACAAGGTGCATTAAAGACCAATTTAGGCCACAGATGTGGTATTGCTTGTTTGTAAATCCACAAAGAACTAAGGAAAAACCTTGTATCTCTGCTGGATATACAGGAGCTTTTATGTTATCTGAATAGATGCTAGTTTATTGAAGTGATTCTTCCTGAATAATATTTCCTGAACACTAAGCTTTGTTATGAAATATAATTAATAAACTACTGCACCCTACACACACATGCAGCACAGAGTACAGCATTAGATTCTGTAGATTATCTGAACTGGCTCTAAGTCTAATTTATTAGTATCAGTCAAAAAGAATAAGCAGAGGGAAGAGGGGAAAACTCTATTTTGTTAAGTTCTACTTGCATTCATTGCATTGTTATACTACATAAAGTACTTGTGGAAAGCCAGATCTCTAAGTGGGGTTCTTACCCCATCTTCAGCTTGAAGTTTTCTCCGCTTCTTGACTTTTTCAGGCATAAGTTTGTCTACTCGCTCTCTGCTGGATTCTGTTCCAAACTCCTCTTCAAAGTTTTTCCAAGATTCCAAGAGCATAAGCCTCTCCTCTTTCTCCTCGCAATTTCTCATGGTTTTGTTTGCCTCTTCATATATTTGCCGGCATCGTGGTAAATTGTTCTCTTTACCTGCTGAGAGCTCAAACTGAGCAAAACTGATCCATACCTGAAATAAAAAGAAGAGCATATTATGATAAATGGCTAATCTGTGCATGTACAATAAGTTGTCAGATACTTATTATAGTCTTTCTCTGTTTAGAACTTGTCCCAATTAACAGTATTCAAAATGTCTGTCACCGATTCTGGAATTGTACATTTTTGATCATTTGAAATAAAGCCTTTAGAGAGGATCTAAGACTATTTCAGATTTGGACCTGTTTACTGTTCTTTTTAGATGAAGTGTTGTATTAAATGATTTAATAGTAATTGGTTTATTTTTTTTCAAAAGAAACATATTACAAAAACTGAAGCATATTTAGAAGAGGATAAGGAAAAGAAAATGGAGTCAAACGTGGATCTTCCCCTATTTTCAAACAAGACGAGAAGAACGAATATAAAGTAGGAATAAAGAAGAGCACGTCTATGCCGTGCAGCTACCAGAGTCGAGTCAAGCAGCCTGAGATTCTATTATGGATGAAGACAGACTGTAACTGATGAACCCAAAGCAGATCTCTACTAAGTCCTTATGTTAAAAATGATCAAAATTGAATTTTCCACTCATATTCTTTTAATTAAATAATGCTTCCATCAGCATTTAACATAAAAATGGGAATTCTATTTCAATTACATTTTAACATTTAAAAATGTTACAATGTTTATTCTTAAAATAGGGGGAGATAACATAATCAGAAGATAATTAACTCTTTTACGCTATCCTGAAAATGAATCCATTTCCCTGAAGTATAATAGAAGTGCAGTAGAACATTCCAGTGAGTATTTTTAAAGGGGCAGATATGGCCCTGTGACCTTATACTTTACACTAGTCTTCTAAACTGTTCCAAACTTGGAAAATTTCTGCAGCAGCTTTAAGAGCAGCACTATTTAAATAGATCAATATGCAAAACTTAATTTATGATATAGATAAGTTTAGATTGCATTTTTTTCTTTTTATTTCTTGTAATCTTTTTTCTATTTTTGTGCATATTTTTGTAAAACTTGTTATAAAATCAAATTTAAAAAATCAATTATTATGAAAAACTAATTTAAAATGGCCTAAATTAAAATCCAGCTGCCATCTTCTCTGTATTTATTTCAGTTTCAGAAGTGTGCACACGCAGTCTCTGTTGCTGCAGCCAGAATGGAATTCAGCTTTGCTTGAGTTAGCTCTTACCTTAACATGCTGTGTTCGCTGAAGCAACCGCCTGTATAGATTTCTTGTGTTCTCATATTCTTCTTGTTCAATTTCAAAGTCTATGTAAGATTTCCAAAGTACCTAGGAGAAGAGAACTCTGTTCTTCCAACTTGGAATATTTTTTTTGCAAAATGTAAAGGCAATTCATATAAAAAGTGTCTGATATAACAGATATACATAGAAAAAAGATTTCTGAATACTGATCAACTATATTTTATGTATCTATTTACTTTTTTTTAAGGGTTTATCTTGCTTTCTTCCAACAGTTCAAAGCACCTTACATGGGGCTCTCTCTTCATTTTATCTCTATCAGCAACCCTGTGATGTATGATGGACTGAGAGACAGTGGCTGGTCCAAAGTCACCTAGTGAATTTACATGACTGAGACCAGAATCTTCATTTCCTTGGTCTGAGACCAACCCCATGATATACCACACTGACAAACCGTCCAGAGTTGAACTCTGGTTGGAAATTATCAGGACCAATTTTAAGGATATGGAATTGAGAGTGCTCTAATAACCTTGGTGGATGACCTAGGCTCAAAACTAGATGGGGGAAAATCTCCTGGATCTCTTGGTTTTCAATGGTCTTCTGGGCCATCTAACAGGACTGAGTCTTGGGGGTACTATTTTGCAGTGGTTCTGTGAGGATATACCCAGAAGGCTGTGCTGTGGATTATAGTTCAATAACTGGGTCACTGGACCTATGGTGTCCCAGAGGGTTCTATCTTGTTCTTATACTATTTAACATCTGTGTGAAACTGATGGGGCAGGTCATTTGGAATGAGGTGCCATCAGTAAGCAGATGACACCAAGCTCCATTGCTCCTTACCATCTAATTCCAAGACAACTAGAACCTTTGAATGTTGCTTGAACTCGACAGTAAATTGGGCAACAGAAAGCAAACTAAAATTAAATCCAGACGTGATGGAGATGTGGTTGTTAAACACAAAGCTGGACTTGTGGATTAAGGCAAAGCTTGTTTAGAAGGGGTTGCATTCCTCCAGAGAGAACAGGTTTGCCATTTGGGGGTGCCCCTTGACCCCCAGCTGTCACTGTATAGGCAGGTGATTGTAGTAGTAAAGAGAACATCTGTACAACAATGGCTAGTGTCCCAATTTCAATTCCTGAGACTGTTAGACCTAGTAACTAATCCATACCTTGGTTATATACAATCTTCCTAGTGCAGCATACTTGCTAGTGCAACTGATATCACTTTTCAAGGAGCTAGCCTTGAAAAATGTCCGGAAATTACAACACATACAAAATGTAGAAGGAAAGCTGCTAACTGGTAAAAGGTACTGGAAGATCTGCACTAGATCTTTCACAACGCATCTAGTTACCAGGCACAGTTTGCAGTGGTAGTGTTGACTTTTAAAACCCTAAACAGCTTAGAACCTGGCTATCTGAGGGATGGCTTCTCCTACTATGAATCCATTCCATTACTTAGGTAAGCAGGAGAGGCTGTTTTGAAGGTTCCCTCTCTGCCAGAAACTCAGCTATCTAGTATGAAGGAGAAGGCATTCCCCCATCTGGCTCCCAGGCTTTGAATGCACTTCCCTACAGAGTTATATTTGGTCCCCACTTTCCCAGTATTTAGAAGAATAACAAAAGATCCTCTCTTTGCCCAAGCTTTTAATTGTTAGGTAAATTTAATTTTTCTTGATTTTGACTGTATTGTTTTATCATTTGTATTTTAATTGCTATAAGCCAAGGAGAATGCCAGAGGAAGTTTATGTGAGCCCCATATTAATGGGGGGAGGAGCGGAGTTTATCTGAGTTTCTTGTTTAAAAATTCAGTTTGCTGAGCAGTTATTTTCATGCTGAGGCTTCCCCTCCCTCTTCAAAAGGGCATAATGCCTGTTTTTTTGATATGCCAGACCAACTACAACTGTTACCTGCATTCTGTGGAGGGCAAGATCATGTATCATGTAACAACAGGAATTTACTCAGTTGACTATAATGCCAGGGCTTGTGGAGTCATGGAGTCAGAGTTGGAAGCAATTCTTGGGTTACTGGAGTCACTAAAAATGTACCGACTCCGACTCCTAGTAAATTTAAATTGCATATAATATAAATATGTTAAAATTTCCTATTTCATAGATAGTAATTGGATTAACCTATTTTTTTCAGGATATATTTTAATTTCAAGTTCTCTGCAAATTTCAAAATATTCACATTGGCAGTGATGAAATGCCTTGCATGTTGCATGCTTGCAGTCGATATAGGAAAATATCTAACTAGTATATTTATAATTTATTTCCTATATTGATATATAATTAAAGGAGTTGGAGTCAGAGGTACCATGAATAAAGGAGTCGGAGTCGAAGGTTTTATGTGCTGACTCCACAGCCCTGGCTTCCAGTGTAACATAGTCTTGGGTTGCAGCTGCACTGGAAAATAATCTGCTCTGCTTTCCATCACCCACTGGTTGTATTCCAGCCTCATTTCTCTGCAGCTTCCTCCTACCAGGGCAGCCAGCTCAACCTGAGCAAGCAGTCCCCTTCTAGCCAATCTAGTTCATCAAGGCAGCTGTACCATCAATATTACTCCCTTTCTATCCATGCTATAGTAGTTTTTTGTTAACAGATGGGTAGTACGCCCTTGTGCAAGCTTCCTTGAGAATGGCAGAAGTACAAATTTAATTAAAAATTAATATATGTCTCCCATATATTCCCTCTATATCAGACAAAAATACATTACTGAGAACAGCATTCCTCAGAACCTCTCTTACCTCTGGCATATCCAATCGAGGTTGGCCAATAGCTAGTTCATATATAGCTCTGGCTCGGTCAACATCACCAAGAATAGTTTCTAATTCAGCAAATTTGATCCATGATGTGCAGTTTTCAGGTGCAAACTCTAAAAACTTCTCATACAGTTTCCGACAACGATCGAATTCTCGCAGTTGTAGCTCCAGTTCAATATAGCCTTTAAATAGTTTGTTCTTTGGACATTTACCTATAGAGGTCCCCTACAAAAAAGGAAGAAGTTACTCAAAGCTTCTCAAGAAAGCGCAGTTATGCAAGCATAAGAGTTGAAGTATACTTTTTTCAGACATGTTCCAAAAGTGCAGTATTTGGGCTCTAAGGGTCTACTTTTTGAATTATTACATTTATATCTTAGTGTGTTCTTATTGTATATTAAAATTGTCTACAAAGGGCAAAAGCTATCATGGGCATGGTAGCTTCTTTGGCAAATTTCAACATTTTAAAAAATGTTAAGAGTCAGCCATAAAGGAGTCCACTGGAGTTGGGCAGCCAATAAATTTAAATAATAATAATAATAATAATAATAATAATGCACAGAAGAAACAAAGACAATACAGTATTGATTAGAAAAAGGTGGACTTGTTTAATGATACTGTAGAGACCATTTGTATATATAAAAGCTGCGTTGTGTGGTTTTTTCTTCCTACCACAACTTTTTAAATAAGCATGCTAAGCATGGGACATTCTTATAGGCTAAATCATTTGTCAGGATGGAAATCACCTGACCCTCCCTTCCATTCAGCTTAGAAGTTACCATCAACTTGCCAGATCAGTTTTTCCCTGTGGGAAAAAATGTAAATGATCACAAGTGGTAGAATATCTATTCCAATAGGAAATGCAGAAGTTCACCCTAACAGCGACAACAAAAAAATCAGCTTTGTCTACCAACCATTTGAGGTGGGGACTTTAATAAATGTATTAAATTACATCTGTAAGGCTATAACCTTGCTCTGATACAACATAAAAAGGTAACCGTTTCTATTTTTTATATTTCTTGACATATCACTATAAGCCAATATGTATTTAAAAGTGCTGCTTTCAATAGAGATCAGATAACAATTTCATCAATACCTTTCCAGAACAAGAAAGTCACTTAATTTTACTTACCAATCCTCGTCTGGCAAGATGGAGATTCTTCTGTCTGATTTCAAATTGTGCATACAGCAACCATATTTTGGCAAATGTAAACTGAGTGGAGAAATAGCATAAAAATTCTACTAAAAAATCAGTTTGCTGAGTTTAAAAACAATGCTTTCAAACAAAAATGACTAAGGCCACAACTGTTTGGTATGATGTTGCAGAAAACTTCTCCCAAGCACTTAAAAGACTTTCCTCAATAAAGTAATTATATTGAAGCTCCTCAGAACAATATTTACACATGCGAGGTATCTTTAGCAGGTTTATGTTATTTGATCAGCCCATAAGGCTGACCGACAAGGCATGGATAACACTCTGTTCTGTATGCATTTGGGGAGTGCGTATGTGTATAACTACATGGGTGAAGATTTCAAGGAGAGAGAACAGATATTAAAATAAGATCATGAAATAGATGAACTTAGAGGTTAATTAGGAAGAATTTCACCTGAAGAATGAACACTGCGGTGCAAAACCTAGAATTTAATTAGAGTCTAAACAAAAATAGAAAAATTGTGTTAAAATGTTTTAAAATTAAACTAGTATCAGCCCTAGCCACCATTGTCAGAACATCTGAAGGGCACTGTATTCCTAATTTAAAGAGAGAGGGGAAGATGTGATGAGCTGTGATCTGAGAAGAACCCGATTCAGATCTCTCTACAATCTGGGATGAATCATTTCCTTGAAGTTTTGGTGAAGGCTCTATATGGAATAAAAAAACCTGGCCTAAACTGAAGGTCTGTTGTAAGTTATTGGTGCAGTGTAAATACAGCACTTTGCACAATCATGCACACTGTATTAGTATGATAAACACTACAAAAATCCAAGGGTATGGAATGCAAATGGTACATCAAACAGTGGAATGCAAGTTACATTTCCCATGCTGTCCACCCTTCTTTGGGCTGAGACATCTTTTACATGCGGTTGTCCAGTTTGCAGCTCTCCCTCCTGTCTCCCAAGGTTATTCCCACATACCATTACAATATGAATAAATCGTTTTCCTTATTTAGTATGCCCCTTCTTCAGAATCCATATCAAATGAGAAACTCTATTCTGTGAACCTGGAAAATGAGTCAGCTACAATCATTTATCACTTTAATAGTTTAGATTATAACTGAATTTATAACTATACATTGGTTTAGATTATAACTAAGTAGTCATAATTAAAGTGGATCAGAACCAAATCCCATTAAACTAATAGAAATTAATTGTAATTTGTCTCTCTGTTTTCAGTGACATATTGTCCAATTTTGTGGCACTCCCCAAATGCCTATAGAACAGAGTGTTATCCATCTGATGGGTAGACAACTCTTAAGTAGGAGGGTGTTGATAGTATAAAAATTACATTATAACAACATATATGATGTGATCAGATTACTACTGGAACAGTGTGGATAAAGTTAATATAGCCAGGATGTACCCTTAATTAAGACACAATACAACAAAGGTAAATACCTTTTTGTGAGGAATGAGTTCAACACACGCTTGATATACCTGTCTTGTTCTCTCTGGATCCTAAAAAGCAAGTCAGTCTATGTTACATAGTTGGAACAAAGCTTCCGGGCAAGTTCAATTCAAAATATTCTAGGAAAAAATGACATCTAGCTACATTGTATTACTTAAAATATTTCTTACTGCTTGAAAAACCCAGTCTTCACATTTGTAAGTTTCCCAAAAAATCTGCATTCCCATCTTGACATCTCATTTTAATTTTTTGTCTATGGAGTTCAAAATAAAGTTGCTCACCTACTATCTAGGACTGTATTTTCAGAACATATCACATCAGTAATTTAAAAATTCCACTGCTTATTTCTGAGCATGTGGCAAGCCCCTTTAAAGCCCTACAGTGCTTAGAGCTTGGATATATAAGAGAACATATCACATATCAATGTGTTCATACACCAATTCATGGGAAAAAAATCTATGTGGCTACTAACAGTCAACACCAACTTGATGGCATATAATCAATCAATCAATGATATACCAAGATTGCTTTTACAGATCTCCACCTACTGGGGTGATGCTAGTACTGATTTTTTTTCCAGCAAGGGCACACTGCTTATGGAAACACCCCCTCATGCAGGTTTATTATTAGCTTTTAATGCATGCCAACAGTGAATATGAGTGTGGTGAATAAGAAGCACAAAATTACATATGCAGGCCATTTTCCAACCCATCAAAATACTTGAATATTCCTATATACCATACAGAAATCAATTAGATTTCAAAATGCTTAAGTGTTTGGGGGGGGCAGTTGCGAAGAGGACCATGATCCTGTTGTCCCATCATCCCTGTCTTAGGCAATGATTAAAGGCTTTTTTTATTTTCCTAGAACTGTTTTAAAGGTGGTCCTAAATTATTGCACAATTTATACCGTTTTGATTGTTGACAGCTGTGGAAGCTGATTTTTTAAAAAATTGAATGGCAGTAAGCTACATAACTTAGCCTGCTTTCTTATATTACAGGTAGTTCCCAGGTTAAGAATGCCCAGTTTAAATGACCCATAGTTAAGAACAGAGCCAATTGCAGCAAAATTTGTGTTAAATACACAGTGATTTGAGTTAAATACACAATGGTTCAAGTTAATTACACAATACTACTTATACAGCATTATACAATAATACTGATCCAGCTTACATACAGATTTGACTTAAGGGCAGACCTTGGAAATGGAACTCGTTCTTAAACTCAGGACTACCTGTATATATTTTTCTTAGGAATCTAGTCAGTTATATGAATGATTCATCAGACAGTATGAGTATCCATGTGCTAACTGGTTGTACAGTTGGTAACGAAGTACTAGAATAAAAAGCATCACTTAATCTTAAATCTGCTTACAAAGCAGGATATGTTTGAAATGATGCCAAATTTCCTAGATCAAGTCCCATTTAATCAAAGAAGATGCAAGATTCATGGGTCACTTTCCTTTACCTTTGCCTCTAGCTCTTCATAGAGTGCATAATTGATCCACAGATAGATGTACCTCTTCCAGTGTCGCTTTTCTTGAATTGGAGGAACGTTGGCAATGGCTCTTTCATAAACTTCACGTATAGTATCAGAATCCGCATCACTTTCCACCAGACGCAGATAATCAAACCAAGCATCATAATTATGTGGATTAGCCTTTCAAGATAAAGAGAATACTTTCAGAAGTACAAGCATAGTACAAAATTAGCAGTGTAGTTATCAAAGCATGATTTACTGATTGGGTTTCTGTTAATTTATCAGTTTAACTAACTAGCACTGCTGTATCCAATTTCAGGACTGCTAAGGATTCAGCATAAAAAACAGTTAGACTAGCGGTGTAACGACTGTGATTGATACAAACACAATTTGTGAAGTCTAAGAAAACAGTGTCTACTATTCTTTAAAACAAAAGCAGGTTTTATTATCCAGGAGAGCTATAAAGATGACCTTAGTGATATGTTACTGAATGCTGAGTTTACATCACTGATGCTTATAAGGAAGAGGAGCTCCAGGTTCAGAAGGATGACTTAGAACCAGGGATTCTGTCCTTTAAGTAATCATTTGCATGACTAGCAGAATGTGAACAGATCTTCCAAAACACTTTGGAAAAAGTTGTGTAGAACAAACACATGTATACACTCTGTAGAATTCAGCTTTTTGTGTGAATAATTTAAATTAGAGCTTCAGTTAATATGGAAGTCTATAAATCATGCAGTAAACTAGTATTCTTTCAGGATTGTTTTTGTGGAATCTGAGGCACTACACAGTCCTTGTTACAGATTTCTACAGTAACGTTCATCCTATGCTAAGATGAACATTGATAAGATGCTAAAATGAACATAATGAAATCCAGAAAACCTAATCTTCCTGTTTTTGTTACAACTTTATTAATTCATGAATCCCCAACTGTTTTGGGCTCTCCCTAAAACTATGGACCCAGATGGCAATTTGAGAGCATGTTGCAGGCCTACAAAGAAAATGGCTACCATGGACAGGAGACATTGCCCATTCACAAAATGCTGATGCAGCAGATGTGCCCAGTAAGAAAATAATTTACAAGAAGACAGTGGGGATTCTGCCTACTACCCTCTAGCACCATAGGATATTCACCACCAAACCCTAGATTATTTGGGTCTTCTTTCTAGGCAGATGGCACCTTTATTTAAGGGGGAAAAGCATAAAGCTGTTGCCATTTCTAAGTCTATAAAGCCTATGGGAAATCCAAAGGCATTCTTACAAATAAAGATAATTCTGGAAGCAGGTATTTTGCTTTGCAGCATGTCAACTTTAATTTTACTTAAAAATTAAAATAAGATTTAGTAGAAAAGAACAAAGAATCAATAAGCACACTGATAATAACAGATGCCACATTAGGAAATGTACTATTTATTTGCGGTATCCTTTTTTCATCCTACAGCTTATTATGAGTGGTATACAGAGTAGTGCTTTCTCCAATTTTATCTGCAGAACAGTAACTCTGTGAAAAAGTTTGGGCTGAGAAGTAATGACTTGTCTGAAGTCAGCCAGTGAGTTACTGTGACTGGTTTCTATTTGAACCCAAGTATCCTGGCTCCAGTTCAGTACCCTTATGATTATGTTATGCTGGCCAAGTCACACACTCCATACTTATAGCACTACAAAAGCAACAGTCAAGGGAATGACCATAAAGTATACGATTCCCCTAGAGTTGAAGCCCTTGCACTCACTTTTACTTCTTCTTCATATTGGAATCTCCTCTTGCTAACAATAATATCCTCAATTCCCCTTCGGTCCCCAAATTTCTTCTCAAAAACTGTATAATTTTTGAAGAGCTCCTGTGCCTCATGTTTTGGAATTCTGTCCAGGGCATATTTGTATATTACTCGCACTCGTTCAAACTGAAAAAGAAAAAAAAATGAAGAAAAAAGTACACTTAAAAACAGAAGATTAACTTGATCCTCATTGGTATGTTCTGTAACTATTTTCAGTTTAAGCACATGCTGTGAAAGAACTCTCTTTGAGACTGTGAAGAGTATTACACGAATGATATGCCAGGGCAGTCTTATATTATTACACATCAGAATAAAGTTTTATATGGCAAAAAATGAAACCAGACAAACTATATAATTTGGGGGGAGGGGCAAATGTTGTTTGTATCATTGTTTACAGCTTACATTGTTTGTATTGTTATATTATAGATTCAGAAATTGAAAAAAAAAAGCCAAATATAAAAAATATCGAGAAGTTCATTGTTATAGTCAAAACTGTAAATATTACTTTAAGTCAAGAGGATTTGGGTTAATATTTGATTAAACAGGCTTAATTCAGTTAGCTTTGTTAAAACCAACTGCAGTCTTAAATACTCCAGAGGGTAAACAAAATAAAACTGCATCAAAATGGAGATCAGCAATGTGATGTCCAGGAGCACAGGTGGCTGCCAACCCACTGATCACCTCCAGCAGGTCTCTTCCATCATCCTCTTGCCTCCCAGGGTTGACTGATCTCATTCTCTCCTGCTTGCTTGGCTCCTGATATTCCACAACTACATACTCAGTCACTCAATGGATTGACAAGAACATTACCTTCGTTTGCTACATTAAACATTGCTCAGTTTTTCACTGTCAATGGCAGTAAAATGAGTTTTATTAGCCCATTTCTTGGAAGGAAAAGAGGATCTCTTTCCTTCTAGTAAAGTGGGGGAGTTGGAGAAGGAAGGTTATGGATGTATTTGCAGATGAGGAAAGTTGTCTTTGTATGCATGCGTACAGGAATTCAAGAAATGTATCTATCTTTGGAAAAATTACTATGCATATGTATGGGCATCTGTGTTTATGTATTTGTCTATAAGTATCCCCAGGGGTGTTGAGTAACCACACATTTATCTGCATGCTGATCTAAATTAGAATGACAGCCATTTATGGGTCTTAAAAGTATAGGGAAAAGAAGTGAGACATTAAAGTAAAAAGCAGGCAGCCCATAGTGATAACTGGGTACGTCTAGAATTTCTTCAGCTGCATTTTTCTTAAACTCCACATAGTTTTCCTCATAAGTAAATCCCTTTCACTCCCACCTTATTCAATCTTAAAACTCACTGAATTTAATTTTAATTTACTTGGATACCACTAGCAGCAGCTGCAGCTGTTTCTGCAGCCTGTCCTGAAATGTAGAAGCCTGTGAATATTTACTAGCATCCACATTCAGAGGACAGGAAGGGCTTGGGGGCAGTACTTTCCCTCTGTTAGTACTCACATTCTTGTATAGCAGAGGAAGACAACACAGGGCAAGGATCATGTGAGAAGAGAGGCAAAGGGACAGCTCATAATGACAGCTTGCACCTCTGTACAAAGCATGGCATAGCACAACAGAATGTTTTGCTGCAAGAATATGAACTTGTATATTATATTTTTAGTGTGTTTTATTGTAAACTGCCCAGAGAAATTCAATTATTGGGCAGTTTAAAATTTTATAAACACATAAATGGAAAATAAAAGAAAGGTTGTTACAGTAGCAGCCATGACCTTATAAAATGCAAACTAGTAACAAACAAAATGTTACCTCTTTCTGGTTCTCTTCAAATTTGGCAAATGCAACATACAAATGTTCGTTCATATGTTCTTCTCCAAAGAATTCCACTGCTCTTTCAAATACTTTCCTTGCATGTGCAAAATAACTGTGTTTTTCCTCAAAGCGAGCATATTTGATCCAATTCTTAACATCAGGATGGACCATGACAAGTGGAAGACATTAAGGAGCTCCAAACAGAAAGTATTTCATTAGAACATTTACCATAAGACTAACCTGCAGCTAATACATATTGTATATATTACAATATTAGTAAAATTATATCAAAAAGATAAAAACAAAAATTATTTTTTTTCTTGGGAAAACAAAAACTCTGGCACAATGAGCAACTAGAAGACCCAAATAATTTATATGTATATGTAAATTTATATGTATATGTAAATAATTTAGCTTAATGTAATAACACAGCTGGCGCATACATTTCTTCACCAATAAATTTTTGTGCGTGTGGATTTTGATGTGGGGGAAAATCTATATTGTAAACCCATCTTCTGTGCATAATAAATCAAAAGATGCTCCTTTTACACAAGACCGGAAGGCAAAATGCAAACACAAAACAAAATGCTGAACATAGTCCAAACATTAACTTAGAAGGATATATCTCTCATAAATAGAACGTGCTCTATCCACTTCCTTATATCTTAGCTCAAAGTTAATAAAGGAATGCCATGACTGTTCCTCTGGCTGCCATTCCATCCAACGCTCAAACACCTGGCGGGCCCCAGCAACATTTCCCAGCATCTCTTCCATATAAGTATATTTGTACCTTTTAAAATAAAAATAAATAAAATAAAAAACAAGGAAGATTAGTAATGTCATTTAGAGTAATAAATAACAGACCTATTTACAGCTAGTAAAAATAATTCTTCATAATTCAGTAAACTTAAAAAAAAAGTTTTTTTTGTATGTATGTCAGCACATATTGAGCTTGGATCTGGAGTGTCTGCATATTTGGTCCTTAGCATACTAAGCCTATTTTAACAGGTTCCAAAACAGGAATCGCCACAGCATGAAAACTGGTTATCAAGTGTATGACAAGATGGTGAGAGTCAATGTTACAGTTAAGTGGTTGAACTAGGACCACTCGAATTGCAGTCTGCTTTCAGCCGCAGAAGCTGAATGATGATTATAAATAAATAATCACTTTATTTCACAATCTTGTTACGGGGGTAAAACTAGAGGGAATCTTATGTATGTCAACTTGAGCCCCTGAAAGAAAACCAGCAAGTAACATATAGCAATGCCTCAACCTTTTTTCAGGAACCTGCAAAACAACATTCATTATCTTTCTCTCTCTTCCAGAAGTGTAGTTATTTCTGTCTGAAACCTAATAAAAGTGCTTAGCTTACCAGAACTGATTAACTCTTGGTAAAGTAGTGATAGCCCGATCCCAGATATTTCGTGCATGATTAACCTGACGATTCTTCATTTCCATTTCGGCATACTTCAACCAAAGTGTTACATTTCGGTAGTCCACATCTAGAGCACGCTCGTAGATGGAACGAGCCCTGAAAACAACACATCACTGAAATTAATGCATATCCAATTCATCTCCTAGAGAAGTGGGTGCTATTAGATATTCATAAGCTGACAGTGTTTGAAAAATACTTGTCAAAAATTACCTTTGTATTTCTTTGAGGCTTTCTTCCCATTGTGCGTATTTGATCCAATTACTGATAACAGTCCGGTTTTTTCTTATGTTATCTTCAAAAGTCTTGGGAGAAAGTAAAGAGTTTACTTCTAGAAAGCAAATAGTGACTCTGCTATAGATCCACAAAATCTATATAAGAAAAATCTGACAGTCTGTGTTCAATGAAATGTTTTAATCAGGAAGAATTCAAATAAGTGGCTTATAATATGGAAGCCAGAGAACAGTTTTATTGGATTTTACTGCTGATTTTATCTCTGATAAATGCTCTCAGAAAATACCACTTTCCTTTTATCCTGTTATACCCAAGAAATGCAGGGAGACACAACTTCATTCAAAACTTTCTCTTAGTAGCTAATGGAGATTCGATTTTATTCTTCCACATGTATAAAATCTCCTGTGCAAAATATCCAGAGCAGGATAGAAGACCTACAGGTAGTCCCCGGGTTAAGAATGCCCAGGTTACAGATGACTCATAGTTAAGAACGGAGCCTATCGTAGCAAAATTTAAGTTAAATAACACCATGATCCAAGTTAAATACACAATGGTTTGAGTTAATTACAAATACTACTTATATAGTATTATACAATAATACTGTTCCAGCTTACATACAAATTTGACTTAAGGACAGACCTTGAGAATGGAACTTGTTCTTAAACTGAGGACTACCTGTACTTTATTATTTGGTTAGCTTGTGGCAGTTAAACTTTAAGTGACAGAAAGTTCTTTTTTAAAAAAAAAAAGTTTACTACATGCTTTGAGGAGATGCAGGATGGAATAATAACAAATATTTTGTTTTAGTGGCTGCTGCACTGTTATTTCAGACACCAGTTGGTTTAAAGTGAACTTTACGTGCTTTTGCCTCATACTGTAATACAGAAGCATTCAAAATTAATTATGCAAAAACTAAAGTATTAGTATTTGTTAAGTCCCCCAAAATATATACCTGGCAACTGAATAAGCACCCAATCAAACAAGTTTAAAAATCTGCAAATATTTAGGGGTAGTGTTTCATGTGTCCACCAAACACAGGCCACATTGTCCAAAATGTACAGAAGCCAGCAATAATAGCCCTGCAATCCTTTAATTACACTAGAGGTAGTTTTTTTTTCCATATTCAATTCATATCTGCTGCACAAAAAGTATTCTCAGCTAGAGTGCATGCACAACTTTTGTTGGGACCATAGAGCTCCTCCACCCTTAAGGAACGTATTTCAAGCCTCACAATGTGTTCCTAATGTAGTCTTATGCCATGAGGCTAGTGTAACCAAAATTGGAACCCATATTTGGACATGCATATTCTCTTATGTGTTAAAGTTACTTTTTTCCCCGCTTAACACTTCTAATTTTTAAGCGATGGCTTTGTTGTACAGTGGGGCAAAAAAGTATTTAGTCAGCCACCAATTGTGCAAGTTCTCCCACTTAAAAATGCAATCCTGACAATGGGTTATGAATGTGCAGAGGCAGGTGCAATCCTGACAATGGGTTATGAATGTGCAGAGGCAGGTGCAATCCTGACAATGGGTTATGAATGTGCAGAGGCAGGTGCAATCCTGACAATGGGTTATGAATGTGCAGAGGCAGGTGCAATCCTGACAATGGGTTATGAATGTGCAGAGGCAGGTGCAATCCTGACAATGGGTTATGAATGTGCAGAGGCAGGTGCAATCCTGACAATGGGTTATGAATGTGCAGAGGCAGGTGCAATCCTGACAATGGGTTATGAATGTGCAGAGGCAGGTGCAATCCTGACAATGGGTTATGAATGTGCAGAGGCAGGTGCAATCCTGACAATGGGTTATGAATGTGCAGAGGCAGGTGCAATCCTGACAATGGGTTATGAATGTGCAGAGGCAGGTGCAATCCTGACAATGGGTTATGAATGTGCAGAGGCAGGTGCAATCCTGACAATGGGTTATGAATGTGCAGAGGCAGGTGCAATCCTGACAATGGGTTATGAATGTGCAGAGGCAGGTGCAATCCTGACAATGGGTTATGAATGTGCAGAGGCAGGTTTAAAAATCAGACAATGTGATTTTCTGGATTTTTTCCCCCATTTTGTCTCTCATAGTTGAGGTATACCTATGATGAAAATTACAGGCCTCTCTCATCTTTTTAAGTGGGAGAACTTGCACAATTGGTGGCTGACTAAATACTTTTTTGCCCCACTGTATATTGGGGTAGGACACTGCATGATAAACTGAGATGCTATGGTTTCACTTCATGCAATCCTGACAATGGGTTATGAATGTGCAGAGGCAGCCCTTAAACAATGGGTCAAGGATTTGGAAACCCAATTAGACCTGACTACCATACCCAGAGAAGTATTCTTGGCAGCCAGTTACTTTTTTCAATCTGTCTATATATCTAAGCCAAATAACTGTCCCCAAATTCAGAAAAGCCCTAACACTAGCAAGATTTAATGCCTTCCCAACTACTGGTCTCAAGGGGAAACTACAGGGTATTCTGTCTGAACAAAGACTTTGGCCCTGTGGTGAAGGAGTTCCTGAAACACTAAGCCCTTTTTTATATTGCTGGATTGCAGTTAACAACACCCCATCTACTCAGATTACCAGACCATGTAAACCTATTTTATTTACAGTTATTAAAGTGATCTTATTTCCCTTAATGTGGCTAGGTTTTGTTTTACTATTTGTAAAATACCATGCCAGTTTTATAATTATTGGGATTTACTATAATCTTTGTTGTCTCACATTTTGTTTTCTTTGAACCAGTTTTTGAGCTGGTTCAAGTCTTTATTATAAAGCAATAAACTACTTTATTATAAAGTACTGTGTCATCTTTAGTTTTAGTTGAATATTGTATATTTACCTTTCTTTTCCGAAGCTTGTAATCATTTAGCTCCTCTTCATCTGTGATTTTCTGTTGAGGAGGTGGGGGAAGAAGCTCAAGTTCTCTCTCCTTTGCTTCTCTTAAGAGTTGTTCTGCTGTGATCTGTACTTCTGCTGGAGCTTTATTTTTCACCTGATGAAGGATATCATGTTTAAAAATACAATGTATTTTAGAAACCTCTCTGTGTCTGGAATGGGCAACCTGAATGCGGCCCTGAAACCCTATTTTTATAGCCTCAGAAACCCCTCCCCCATGCTGAAAGCTGACAGTGCACTGGCAAATCACAGTGCCAGAATTTTCTGCTTTGGCAGGTGCTTGAAAACCTGTACTGAAACAAGTGTATTAAGTCTCCAAGACTTCACACTCCAAGTGAAATTAAAAAATCCAATTTCCAAAAAAATGGAAAAAGAAGGCAGAGATTCCACGTTTACCCATTTACTACATGTCATAGCTATACCTCTGAAGGCTTGGTTTGTGATTAGGCAGACATAAAACTAGTGAGTGAATTGGTGATTATAAAGCAGCCCAGCACTGTAATATGTATCCCTGAGATACAGAATGTGGATTAGAATTAACACAGATATGAGCACAATATTATTTTCAAAGCAAGGCCAAGACCTGAAAGTCCAAGATTTAAAAGAAAGTCTTAGAAATGAAAATTAAATTTTATTAATGTAAATTATATGATGCTAAAACAAGGCATAAGAGAATAAACGAGTCTCAAAATGAAACCATTTTGTCTTTGCAAGAAAACTTAACAGAAGCCTGGGCCAGATATTAAAATTAAATCTTAAAACTTACACTTCACTCCTAACATATTCAAACAGCCCTATTCTACCCCCTCAACCCTTGATCTAGTACTTGAAAGGTCTGAAAAGGGTTCTATTTTCATTCTCTTGAGTGAAAATCAAATTCTTTCTTTGATCAAGGACACTGTTTCTGGAGATAATGCAAACAGTTTCCTTACCCTGTTATTCAGATGGCAAAGTCCAGGACTAGACTACCAGATCTGGCTGCAAAAATCCAGACAACCACTAGGTGACAGCAAAAAGATATAGCAAACTCAAACTGCTTGCTTCCATCATATGATTGCCCAGATTTTTGCAGCCAAGATCTGGTGGTTCTATCCAATACTAAGGAAGCAAAGACATTGTGCTGTACAAAAAGGTAGTTAGAACAGGGATTGATCTTTCATAGCTCATGCCAGGTACCACTAATTAATTATTCTTTTCTTCACCTCCTACAACAATAGTTCTTAATCACACAAATGTTATTATCTAACTTAGGGTTAGGTTGATTATTTAGAATTCCGTTTTGTTTTTCAGGTCCCTTAATGGCCACTAACTTATTTTTTGAATATATCAAAGTAGCATGTATGAAATAAAAGGGTACATATCAAAGCTCATGGCTTAAACCAAAAATTTTACAGTCTCAGAACAGTTTAAAAAGTGTATTAAAAATCCACTTCTGCTTTATCTTCAAAAGGCTAATTTAGGTGAAAAAGAATAACTTTGTTGTAGATATTGTTAAATATTTGTGAGTCACAAACCCTGCCAATTTTACTGGAAATCACTCAGAGGTGTACCTTTTGCCCAAATCCACAACCCTTCCTCCATAAGGAAAAATGAAGACATCTGACAGCTTTGGTTCTTATTATTTATTACTTCCTGCTTTGAAACTCACCAATTCATTATTTTGATAAATGCTAGTTTGGGAACTTGGTTTGAACAATAGAAAGTATCTTATAGTTTTCCCTTCTACAGCCATGTTATTTCTCAGAACTGCTAAAAAAAAGTTTTGCATGAGCAAGTTATAATACAGTAACCATTTGGATAGATAAAATAATCAATATGTCCTGAATTAAATCAGGTGGTCTAGTTAGCTACTGACTGTATGCACTTTGACAATAAATACCCTCAAGATGCAATTGCACTTATTTGGGAGTAAAGCCTACTGAAGCCAGTGCTGTTACCTATTTGTTTTGCAGGGCTGTGAATAACTACCCCTTACCCCCACCCCAAATATTATCTTCTAGGCACAGTGAACAGATGTAAAGGCTATTCCTTGTAACACGAAGGACAGAAAGTTTAATGAAGTACGGTGTTGTCTCACATATTGTACAGTATTGAAAAGTTGTACCTGATGACATTATTGTATTGTATTTCCTCTTTAGATTTTATTTTAGGATTTTATTGGTAAACACTAAAATAAGCCTCTGAAATAAGCCTGTTCGGGTTTCATCAGAATCCAACCCGTGCAGGATTTCAACCAGATTTTAGAATCTGTTTTTCTCCAAAAGCAAACTTCATCCCCAAGCGCGCTTATTTAGGACGCAAACCCCGTAGTGCTTCTGTGGTAGGCAATTCAGTTACAACGATCTGATCTGCCCTGCCTTCCTTTTTATCGGGTCACGCCTAACTTCCACAATCCTCCTCCTCTCACGACCCACTACCAGGACTCCTGAAAATCTCAGGTCCCACGTCGCGCAACACTTCTAGCCCACGTCTACCCTTGTCCATTCGGAAACAATGAGTCCAGTGAGACACAACTCCAACTAAATACGCATAACGTAGGCCACCACTCTCTCTGCGCTCCGTGACAGCCTCGCGCTTTTCCTCCCCTTCCCACCTTTGCCACTTTAGGAATTCGCTGCTTCCCAGCCGCCGTGGACGCCATCTTTTCTCTCGTTTTTTAAGTCTACGCCGCCTCTTCTTCCTCCTCCTCAATTTGAACTTTAACCTCCCAGCATACCTTGCGCGGTAGAAGGTTTGGCTTTCGGTTGCCATAAGAACAGACAAACACCGCGATCCCCGTTGATTGGATTCGGCGTCCGAAGTGGAGCTGCGGGTTTTCTCGCAGGGCTCCCGCGCCCGGTTCTGAGGGGCAGCCGCTCCTGGAGAGGTGAACCTTGACTAGGCTCCTACAGTTGGAAACGAGCATTTTAGCCATCACGTCCAGCCCCGCTCGGTCAAGTATTATTTCTTGAAGCTGTTTTTGTTCTCTTCGCCAGAAATTCCCATGCCATTGATGGGGAATGAAAGCGGAACAATTATCAACGTGGATTTTTATTTTTGCACTGCAAAAATCCTTTTTCCTAGGCTTTGAGAAGTCTGTTATATTTGGATTAAATCTCAATTTAAAGGATGGTTTTAAAAGAGGATGCATCAAAAGAGGATGCATCAAAGCAAGTGGCAGGACCTAGCCAACCATGGCAATGTAGTCACATTTAGTTAGTGATGGTTGTCCACATTGCAATTACAGGGCTATAGGCTAGTTAATTAGGTGACAAAACCTACCTGATCTTGAAATACGTAGGCCAGACCTGGCAGAATTTGAATGGGAGACTCCAGGAGATACCATTAGGTTAAGTTTGGGAAATTAAAAAAAAAAAAAAACAAGTCCTAGGAGATGACAATAAAAACCTACTTGTGTTTTATTGCCAAGAAAACTACATAAATATGACTCAAGGAATCAAGCTTGATGGAGACATTAGCATTTTTTTCCCAGACAGTAAAATATATTTCTATAGACTGAGTCTGCTGATGGCTGTTAACAGCCTTTTCCCCCCACTCTGACCATACCTTGGGATTAAGCAAGCCTCTATAATTCACCCTTAGTTTCACATCTATCAAAAGTGGAGAGTCCTGTTTTAAATGGACAATACCAATCCAGGCTGTGCTGGTTTGTTTTGTTTTTGTAGTCTTAGCTAAATCTGAGGTGGTATGATCCATTCTACTATCACTTTTATATAGGACTCTACTACTTTATTCTTTTATATGATGCATTCTGCTTGTCAGAGGTCCCTAACCCTAACCCTGGTACATTACATACTAAAATTACAATCCAGCCCACAGTTTACTGCTATTGAATTATAAATGAAATTTACATTCATAAGGCTTAATTTCTTAGTTGAAATGTTTAAGAAAGGCTGCGATTTTGAAATATTTCTACAGATTAATTTTTGGCACTATTTTCAGTAATGTCTTTGATGATAAATCATAGTATTCAAATGGGATTTTTGGTTATTGTTTTGTTGCAGTATGCACAATGTCTTCCTTATCATCTGCAAGAACTGCATCAGTACCACCATCTTCAGTCATATTAAGTGTCAGAAGGACAGAATCCCATGATATTCCTAATATTGTCAGTCTTATGAAATATGACACAGAAAGATTGTTTGGCAGGATTAATGTCATATATCTTTTGTAAGTAACACCATTATAACAACTTTTCATATATCTAAAACAACTCAATGACTTTTTTTTTTACTAATTTCACTTCAAAAAATAACATTTATTTTACAGAGAAAAAGCTAATCTTGCAGTGACTGTGATTAATCACAAAAATGTAAGTGTTGCTCATGCTGCATTTCTGGATTATCCTAGCTGGGATGTTGTTGATGAGGCCAACTGGGAAGCATATATGAAAGAAAACTATGCTCAGGACAAGTGTACAGTAAGTATGGGATGTTTTTTCTCTAAGAAATTCTAATCATTAAAAGTGTTCATTGTTGTATGTGTTCTCACAGGAATAAATGCAAAAGACATTTTAGGGTTTTTTTTAAAATACTTTTAATCAGAAGAAAACATGAAACATGACTTTATCTGCTAGTATGCATTGATCTTGTTCCTTGTCTTGTGGAATATAACCCCAAATACTGCTAGCTTTGTTTCATAGACAACTACCTGTCAACCTCTGGCCCATAGGGGAAAAGATCTGCATATACATGAATAAGAACATTTTTTTTTGTTCCATATCATATCTATGCTTATTATATTTATTGCATATAATTAGGAATGTGTAGATCTGTCTTTGACTACTAAAAATTCCGAAGGCAATGATATGCAGTAGGTGTTTAAAGAAAACCTTTTTTCCAGGTACCATGTATTTCACCTTTAACGCTTAATTTTTCCAAAAATAAATTTTAAAGGAAGAATTGGGGCAATTATCAAGAAGAGATAATTAACAACTTTTCCCAGAATTAACAAAGCTATTCTCCAGAGGCAAGGCAAAAACTCTGTTAGTGTCCAAGAAAATAATGAGAAAAGAAGTAAATGCAGTGAGGATATTGAAAAGTGATATAGATACACATGGAGAAATATAAGTGGAGAAATGTTGAGATATGGATGTGGTTTGCTTGTGGAGTGTTTGATCTTATAAGAAGGATACCATTACTGTTTTCTTTTACAAAGGGAAAGGTAGCAAGAGTGAATGCAAAAACTACAGGGGAATTGGTCTGGTAAGTTTTTGGGGCAATGTCTGGTAACATTCTGATTGAAAGGGTAGAAGAGGTGACAGTGAACCACATCTTGGAGATACAGTGTAGCTTTATTTTGGGACTGTTGAGGTACAGACCAGACTTTTGTTCTTTAGTGTGTAATTGAGAAATGTATGAATATAAGAATTTCAAGAGAACATGATAGTGAATAGGGTTGAATCATGAATATGGAGATGAAAGTTGGTTGGAAAATAAATGAGCAATATATGCAGTGGAGTAAGGTAAGAAATGGTATCCTGCCAGTATTTGTTTGGGTCCCGTACTATTCAACTTGTTCATAAATGATTTAGAATTCTGCACATCTAGTGAGGAAGCAAAATTTGCAGATGACACAAAATTATTTAAGGTACAATAGTAAAGACCCAAATGAATTGTGAAAAATCCCAAAAGAAACACTGCAAGCTTGGTGACAGGGCCACTAAACAGCAAATGCAATTCAATGTCAGCAATTGTAAAGTTATGCCCATCAGAGCTAGGAATCCCTGGTTTACTTGGGTGAACTGTGAAATAGTCAACCAAAATCGAGACCTTGGCATCATTGTAGATAGTTCAAATCATCTACACAGTGTGCAGTAACTGTAAAGAAAGTAAATTCCATGTTAGTGGTCATTAGAAAAGGAATAGACAACAAATAAGCCAATATCAGTGCTGAATTGCAAAACACTAGATCAAGAGGAAGGGGAAGGCTGAGAAAGTCATCAAATGTTCAAAGAGAGAGAGTTTAAAGAAAAAAAAAGGCTATGTACCTGTATGATGTGGTAGAAGCAACAATATAGCCTCCAAGGATAGAAAGGTATGAGTGATACAGTGAACAGTGTTGATATAAATTAGATTTATCTATAGTATGTTTCCTTTTCTTTTTCATATCTAATGCCTTTGATTTGTTTGGCTTATTATTTCTTACTGCTTTTCAGTGCTACATGTAAAACTGTTTATGCAGAAAGGGAATAGCACACTGTATATGTTTGTCTGCTTTTGTGTTTCTTCCAAGTCAGCATATAGTCCTAGGTAATGCAATAACTTACAAAAAGGACAACAAAATACAGTGAAATTTTTAAAAATCCTTTAAAAGATTTTTTGTAACTAAAATACTAGACTACTTTCTTGCAGTGTGGTGTTCATTTTTACAAGAACAAAACTAAAGTTATTTTGTTAAAATGAAATGTTTTCTGTTAAGTAACTTTTTTTTATTCACAGCCTTTGAATACATTGTTTATGCATCTGTTTGTAACAACTGATGAATATGCAGTTGATTGTTGTCATGAAATTATGAAGTAAGTGAATTTTGTTGCCTTATCTAACAACCATGGGATTTAGTTAATGACTGCAACCGGGACTGCAGGGATCGCCATCACTAAGCGATGCGGTCATGCATACGACCGCATCACTTAGTGATGTAAATTCCCAACCCAATTGCCATCGTAAGTCAAGGACTACCTGTACCTCCATGGCTGGATGCAGGCAATAGTGTGTTGACTTTGAAGGTTCTCTCTAGATTAGAGATCCTCACTTCCATAGAATTGAACTCTTGGCACCTGCACTTTTGGCCATCCTGCATTCCACTGCCCCTGTTGCCCTGCACTCAACCCTGCACTCCTGCCACCCTGCACTCCACCGCAGGAAGGCCTTGCATGGCTAGCAGTTGCCTCGCAAAGGGCCAGGCCAGCCATGCCTCATCAGCAGGACAAAGAAAACGGCAAAGCCCAGCTGGGGGTGACAAGGGTGGCAGGGGTGCAGGGCGGAGTGCAGGGTGGTAGAGTGGCAGAGAGCAGGGCAGCAGGGGCAGCCAAAAGGGCAGAGGGGAGATAATCAGGTGGGGGGAGCTGAAGCGCACCCTGCAGTAATAAGTGAAGATGGGCTGCCAAGCACCCAAATTTTGATCATCTGACTGTGGGGGTACTGCAATGGCCATAACTTTGAGGACCAGTCATAAATATGATCCATTCAGTGCCATTGTAACTTTAAATGGTCACTGAATGAATGGTCATTAAGCAAGGACTACCTGTAGATGTGATCGAAGCAAGGAAGGTTTGCAAGAGATAGAATGGTATGGAGAGGCATGGGTGTGAATTATATTTAGCTATATTTTCATTTCTTTTTCTTATCTCATTTCTATAATTTACCTGGCTTACTTTTATTTTCTCATTTTCTGAGTTTTGAATAATGTTTCTTATTCTCAAAGGGATGAGCAAGATGGGTATATCTGTTTATAAACACATACATAAATTTATGTACTAAAATTAACTGTAAAATCTACTGCTTCATTATGTTTTTTAGGTCTTACAAATATTTCTGAAGCAGAAGTAGGGCATGAGAACTATGTTGATTAGGCATTGTTTGTTTATATATTCTTTATCAAAATAATTATATTGTCATTGTCTGTTGAAATGGTTTAGGAGTTTATAACAATACAATAAAAAGAATTCAATAATGAAATAATGGGACCAAGACTGCTAGCATGAGTGAGAGGCTGAGTAAGGGCAACATAAAAAGATAGGCATTTAAGAGGACCCCATGCGAGCATTAGGGCATAGCATATGGCAAAGGCAAGTTATTTGACAGGAGAGGTGTACTATGGGATAGGCTTCCTTCTGTGTTGTTGCCAGGCAACAGTTTGAACTCCATCAAAGAACAGCACCTTTTCCTCTGTAGCTCCTACATACTATCCTACAACTTGAGACAATATTTAACTTTATTTTTTATGTTTTATTGATTTAATTTGTTTGTTTTGAGCCACCCAGAGTGTTTGAGAGTTGGGCGTCATACAAGTGTAATAAACTATTATTATTTTTAAGATTAATGTGACCCCAAATGTTTTCTGTGTCAACTACAATTCCTAGAATATAGCTTTATGACAAATTTACATCCAGTTAAGATCTGGTATCCAGTCAGTAACATGGTCACTGCATTCTGCACTAGTTTTGGCTTCCAAATCAGTGCCAAAGACAGCCTCATGTGCAGCTTATTACACTGTTCCAGATTTTTGGTTACCAGTGGATGAATCATAGTGGTCAGTCCATTTTTACCAAAGACAAGGCACAGACTAAGCTTGAAATAGGTGTTCCTAATTGTGAAGGGAGGCTCAGTCAGAGTTCTTCTCCAGATCAGACAATTTCCCTGTTTTTTGAAACTGAGAACCTCTCGCTCACAATATGTTTACTTTTAAGAGTTCCACCCTATAAATAGGAATAGAACCACATTATGGTCTCACTCCATGAAAGTACTGCTATCATTGGTAGACAAAGTAGAACAATATTGCTTTCTCAATAAAATTTCCATTTTGATGAACAAGGCTAATTCTGCCACGTAACTGAGTGAAAACCTAAACTGAAATAATTCTAGATAATTATTAGTATAATCCAGAAGGCATGTAATTGGATCGTTATCATCCTCTTGATTATCCCTACAGTATTTTTAAAGTAAAGTGTTTGATAGTTTGAATTAGCTAAGAAGATACATAGTGGGATGAACTGCTATAAATCGTATCTTTAGGCTGTAAAAACAAACTGATTCTATCAAACTGTGTAAGATTGTATACCTCATTTGGACCTATAAAAATAGCAAGTTCAAGATATTGGAAGATGAACCATTTTAACTTTGAAATGCCTTGTGAAGTTTTCACAGCAGGTCTCTGAGGGGTATAACAAAATATTTTCTATGATACTTCCTCTATCATCCAGAAAAGCTGTCTCCTATCCTCATTGCCATGTTCCATGTGCAATTATATGCTTTTAACAAGTGCTCAGTTGACTTTACATAGAATCTTACTGCACTGATGCTCTTAGCCATCTTCTGTATGTTTCATTCTTCAAAAATTTTCAGAAAATAAGGGAGCAGTTTGAGCTGCACTGTATTGGGAATCTCTGTGAAATATGTTGGTAATCAATATAGATAGATAAATATTTTTTCATAACTCATCTAATCACAATAATCTATGGGGAGACTAAGATCTTGAAAAGATTCCCACCTTTAGCTACTGGAAAATCCCCAGAACCTTCTGGAATTCTACAAATTCTATTGTTCTTCAGAGCCATGGGCCCGTCCATCCCTACAGGGTATAAAATAAAGTCAGTAGGAAATAATCTAGCTGTGATAATAAGATTTCCAAAGTCTCTCCTATCCTCTGAGGCAAAAATCAAATGGAGGATAGACCTGCTCTGTATAAGGGCAATGAATGACTTTGTGATTGTCATAAAGTCCAGAGCTGACCCAACAACATTATTGCTATGTACATTGAGGCCGTTGTCTGTGATTATTGTATTATTGTTTTAATAGTGATTGTTTTATCTGACTGTTTTATCTTTGTAATCTTATTGTATTTTGGTTTTATCTGTTTATAAAGATGGACTCAGAATGAAAGTTGTCCATGATTCTCTAGTTACTACTCTAGGATTGCTACTGCTAGCTCAGTCAGGATGCTTTGGGATAGTAGAAAGAGCTATATGCCAACAGTATAGACCTTCGTAGCCTACAACAAGGGGCAGAGAGTTTGTGATGAGACTATATTTCTTTGGATCACAATGATTCCACTCTGCCTCTTCATCTTAATGTTGATACTGTGCTAAATATTAGACAGACATCAAATATCAAGTCAGTAATACACGCTAAAGTGATATCATCCATGATTTAATAATGGAGACCAAATGGGCATTAAATGATGCCATTACTAGGTTAGAAGGAAAAATTATAGTAATCAGGAGCCTGGACCTTGTCATGATAATACAAAAGGGGGATGGCATGCAACTATCTTCAGGTCACCTGTTCCCCTCAGAATTTCTCATATCCCGCCATTATTAGGCTCTTCCCATACTTTTTCCTCTGTGGCATCCAACTTGGCACCTCCCAGCCATACTTATACATTCCACAGTCTTATCATACTGGCTTATGAAATAACAGTACAATGAAGAACATGACCCAGTGTGATGGAATGTCTACCAGACCCTGGGAATATGGAAGAGGGAGCAAAACCATTGCACAAGGGAATTGGACCACTACAGAAAAGTTTCTTTACTCCAGGGGAGTGAGAAAATGTGAAAAAGGGAGTAACTTCTTCTTAATTACACTAAGCATAAATTGATCTGGAGAATTGCTTTGACAGGGTTTCAAGATTCTGTTACATTATCTTACGAGCAATAAAGATATTTCCAGAAAACCAAATGGTACCTGTTTTTTGAGTTTGCCAAACTCACTGGGCTTGACACTTATACAACTAGTCAATCATAGGAAGCATGCCCAGTTTTTAGGCATTTACCTGTTAAGCCATCATTATTCACCGTCTAGCCTAAATCCTCATTCTGAGTGGGAGTGTTAGGAGTTTACCATGTATGTGAAGTGAGAGAGGTGGGGATTCAGCAGCTGTTTTTCTGAGGACAGCCTCCTTCAGAAGCTACGTTGCCACGCATCATGGTATCATTTTGGAAAGTCACAGGGTCTTGAATGTAATTATTGCTGCTATGTACATTGAGGCAGATGTCTACCTGTGAGTTTGGCCTGAAGTGTGGTGACCAGGAATAGGACCTTCTTGGTGCTAGCATTCCAATTGTGGAACTTTCTCCTGAAGGAGTGTGGCTGGCTTCTACACTATCTGTGTTTGGAAAATAATAACACCCTCTAGGACCAAATTGATTGATTCAATTACAATGGCAATGGATGTACTATTGGAAGATCTAAAGGACCAGGTTGAGGATAGATCTTCCTGGAGAAAATCTATGTGGTTGCTAAGAATCAACACCAACTTGATGGCAGTAATCAATTAATCAAAGGACAAAATTGCCTTCAGTTTAATTGTGTTAGTTTTAAAATAAGTTTCTTCTGATACATAGATATAATTGTTGCATAGCTTAAGGCTGCACATTTATTACCTTTATCATTCCATTTTGTAGTTTACTGTTTTATTTCCTATTGTGCCATTGTTAGGCTGTTTTATACTAAGTTCTTGTGTACACAGATCTGGGCTCTTTGGGAACAAAACAGTACCTAAATGTAATAAATAGTAATACAATAATAATGTCAGACAACAAGAGAGAATCCCATTACCTTTATGGAGAAGCAGAATAGGCAACTCAGTGAGATCAGCCCACCACATTGCCGCAACCTGATTTATAATTCGGTGAGATAGCAGCTGAGTCTTTTAAGCTCCTTACTGACCACTGGTTTTTAGTGTTCCTTGTGAGAGAAGTACTTGAATGCATTTCCAGATACATAAGTTTGAAATATTGGGTAACATAACTGGTATATTGTAAAATATGCATGCATTGCAAATCACAGAATTATATTTTGCCAACTACTTGCAGTTATTTTTAGAAATATTATTAATATGAAAATACAGAAAGGTTTCATAAAGAACCTACTCTGCTTTATTGTGCAATGCAGCTTGTGGTAATCCTATAATCAGTTATGTTCAGTGTTATATTAACACCAGAGTCTCACATCTTCTATACCTACTTGTGAATTTTGTACAGTTAAAGCTGTACTTGAGAAAGCTAACAGTTTCTCAGTGGGCTGACCAAAATTCAGAAAGATTCTTACAGTGCCAACTGTAAGACTAACCCATTTTTATTTTAAGGCATAACCTTTCATAAGCTACATCTCACTTCATTACAAAGCTTAAGCTTATGCCTTAAAATAAAAATGAATTAGTCTTAAAAGGTGCTACCAGTCCCCTTCTGATTTTTGGTTATCCTAGATTAACACAGATTTCTTCCTACAATGTCCTTAGTAGGCTGGGCATAGCTTCTTATAACATATGGAAGATCTGTTGATCCAGTCTTGAACTTGACCTGGAACAAAAATTGGAACAGTAGACAGGTATTTATGTCATGTGTCTTATTCCTCCTATATGTCATCCCACAGTTCAATAAGGTTACTTATCAGATTTATATATTGCAAGCTTGGGATTAGCAATAGAGCACTCATAGCACCCACCTCCCCATTTAAAACATTTAAAGTAAAAAATAAAAATAAAATGTTCTGAGGTCTCTTAAAATACACAAGTCTTGCAAGATCTTACATGAAATCTCATGCAAATTAGCTATTTTAATTTTTGGTCTTTTGACTACTTAAAATGGTGGCTCCTACCTTGCAAATATTTGTGATCTTGCCTAATACCATTTCATATCTTCACCTGATTCTTCTAAAAATTCAATTTCTGCCTTGAAACTTGTGCTCTGAACACACCTTCATTTTTGGTGGAAATTGTATACATGAAAATATTATCTTGTTGACCATTCCGCTTTGGTAAATAAAATTTAAAAATGACTGCTATTTTGATGCACATTATTTTTTTTAACCTAAAATAAAAAACAAGTAAAAAATATATATATATTGAAATTGAAAGATTGAAATTGAAATTACTTTACTGTCAGTGTACCTCGTACAACAAAATTAAATGCCATCCCCAGTGCACCTTATATACATAAAAACCATAAAATAAAAACACACATCCTTCACATTCTATTTACCATTACCATTATATATATTTACAGGACTGTTTTTAAAACTGTACCAGAACTACATTTCATACTTCTCTTCATACCATCTCAAGAGGAATTGGGTAAGGATTTGGTTAAGTTCTACGTGGCTCTTAAAACCTTTCTCCCTCTTTTTTGACCCAAGGGAAGAAAGGATATGAGAACCAATGCAGTTTTAAGAAATCATCAACAGACTCAGTTAATTGCTACTTCTGTCAGTTGCTACCTTTGTTAGTATCCGAACAAGCAGATTCTGCATCCTGTCTCCCTGGTGCTTCAGCTTGAAAACCAGATCCTATTGTTTAGTGAACAAATAATAAATACAGCTGAGAAAAATAAGAAAGTAAAATGTTAAATTAAGGACATGAGGAAAATACATACTACAGCAAAAGATGTAGTATATTATAACAATAAATCCTGTTATCAAAAACAAGAATAAAAATGCATAGGAATTTGGATGTATTTGAAATGTATTCCTACTTTTGTGCTGGGATTTTGTTGAAAAGCTGTCTGCTGTTTACAGTAATTCATTTTGTTCACTGGCTTTTGGCTTTGATATTAATAAATACAAAAATGAGACCGAATGATAATTCAATGAATCATCTAGCCATTATTGGTTTATAATTTTTCTTCCTCTCTTGGTAAATAACAAGAGTGGGAATTGCAACTCAACCTCGTGATTTCCCAGATGACTGCAAATCACATTACCAGAAGCAGAGTTTAATTTGCAGGGGGAACATTTTTTTTCAGGGTTTGAAGGATGGGAATTGGAGTTAGAGGCTTCTGAATGGCCTCTTCCTCCCATTCCAATACCTCTGAATTTCAGTAGTGTGATATCAGACTGCTGAGGAGATGCAGATGGGATGTTGGGAGATTACATGTAGGCTACAGGTTTCCCACTCCTACTGTATAACAACCCTCTTTATTTAAACATTTTAAATTAATAGTAACCTTAATGCCAGACATTAGAAACAGTATTTATTGAAGTTTAGCTGAAGAAATTCAATGCAATCTGTGAGTTACCTTTAATATACTTTTGGTGTCTTCAGGTATAGACTTGGCAGCTGCTTTTGTGCCAATGATGAGTCATTTCAGTTCAACTCTGAATATGGAATATAGCCTCCATGTGTCACACAGGCATCAATATTGTCCCCAGCTGTATATTCGCTGTGCCAGGTAACATCCTGCGTTGTCTGTGAGAGTGAAATAATCTTCTGTCACTATTTTCATTTGGGTCTTCCAGTATTGCTTCATCATTCTTAATGTGTTTGTGCACATTTTCATGACATTCCATTCCAATTTGCATTTTTACCCTTGTTTCCTTAATCTATTTATTTGTTTGTTAGATTTAGATCAGCCTTTCCACCAGGAGTTCAAAGCATCTCAGATAGCACTTCATTCCAATTCTTCCCTATGAAAACCCTGCCACATTTCTTGGGCTGGGAGAGTGAATTTCCATGGCTGAGGGTGGACTTAAACTTGAGTCTTCTCAGTCCTGATTCAGTATCTCAACCCCAGAGCACATTGGCACTCAATTTAGTTAGAAAAATGGTAGGACGAATGTGTTATTTTCAGGTGGTGAGTTAACTATGAAATAATTATCTTATTGGGTTTGGGGCTAAACCAGGGTTTTCATATAATATCTAAAACCTGAAAGTCCTTGTGCTTCTTACCTAATTGTCACTGCAATAACTATTCTACATGGGAATTAGTTATTTATTTTACAGAATGTCTAGAAGTGAGGAGAAAAATCCCTGTGACATGCTAGTTACTAACTGTATGATGATGATTATAAAACTAATATAATTTTTTGTTGTTGTTAGAGGAGGAGGAGGAGCATTCCCTCAAAAGCAATTTGAAATGACAGAACCGAGATGCTAGTTTAGTTTCTATGGTAACTGGTTAAATGAATGTGCAAGTATCCTCTCATACCTCTCTACTTTGAAACATTTTTAAAAGGCATTTAATATTGAAAGAAGGAAAACTGCATCAGGATCAAATTTATCAACTTTGCACACTTTATACTATATAGTATGTTTCTGAAATTAAATTATTTAATTACATGGTTTTCTTCAAATTCTGACAGGTGGTAAATGAGTTGGGAGTAACCGATTGTTAACTGACCACTAGAGGTCAGCATAGACCTTTTAACATGGATCTTGTGTTCATTAGTGTACTTAGTGAAGTTGGAATTAGCAAAACAGAAACAGACAAAAAGGAAGAAGCAGTTCACAACCAAAATGCAATTCTATTTTCAAATATTACAGTACTCATAAATGCCAAAGACACAGATTCTTTAGATAGCATGTAAAATAATGTGATGGAATAGGTAAGCAAAATAATGTGTTCGAATGAATCAAGATTGGCTAATTTGAATTTTTAACCTTCAAGGGACTTTTGGCTTACACAAAGAAAAGTGTCTGTCCAAACATTCAGTGTCTGAAGTATTTGAAACCTTGTGCTATCACCAGTTAGAAAAACATAAATCACTCCTGGCAAGAGCTGAATACAGTATACTTTCCATCCAAGATGTAACTTTAGCATTTTAGCTTGTTTTATTAATTTTTTTAAAAAGTAGAGTTAATTTTACAAAATGTATAAAAATATATTTCAGAAAGCCTACCTCATTATACATATAGTACATATGTACACCTAAACACATGTACGCTATATATAAAAAATATACATTCATATTTAAGCAAAATTAATAGCATTTACAGCTAGTAGTTTGAAACAATAACTGTTAGCCATATATCCAAATACCTAATGAAAGAATACATGTTGGTAAAAAGTAATTTATTATTTCAACAAACTTTTGTGATTAACAAAGTTGATTCAGTAATTAAATTTTGGTAAAAAGTAATTTATTATTTCAACAAACTTTTGTGATTAACAAAGTTGATTCAGTAATTAAATTTGTGTAAGCCAAAAGTCCCTTGAAGGTTAAAAATTCAAATTAGCCAATCTTGATTCATTCGAACATTTAATTACTGAATCAACTTTGTTAATCACAAAAGTTTGTTGAAATAATAAATTACTTTTTACCAACATGTATTCTTTCATTAGGTATTTATTTAATTACTGAATCAACTTTGTTAATCACAAAAGTTTGTTGAAATAATAAATTACTTTTTACCAACATGTATTCTTTCATTAGGTATTTTACCTAATGAAAGAATACATGTTGGTAAAAAGTAATTTATTATTTCAACAAACTTTTGTGATTAACAAAGTTGATTCAGTAATTAAATTGAATAATATGAAATATTCTCCTTTGCAAGGACATGACACAGTACACG